ACTTATGAAAAGTGATTCAAGATTACAGATTATGAACGTGCACTGAGAAGTTTTGAAAGAGACATGTTAAAGACAGACCATGAGAAGAACAGCTCATCTAAGGTTAGAAAAGATTTTACATTTCCTCCCCTTTAATATGTCTTTTTGAAAAAACAAAAAAAACCAAAAGAACGATGCATAGATCAAGACACAAGGCACAACTTAGAAGTTAGGCCTCAGCCAGAGAAATCACAGGGGAAAGGACTGGTTTCAGCCTGTAGAATGTTCTCTGCTTATTAAATTGAGTTTTAATTTGACAGTTGTATAAATATTTGTTCTGGTTGCTATTTTGTGTAGTGTTTTCATCAGTAGTTAGTTGCTCAGAGTTGATTTGCCAAGATGGGCAACCATACACATTGAAACAACAACAACAACAACAACAATAATAATAATAATGGCAAGAATAATAGTAATCGCAATTGTAATAAAAATGTCACAAAAAACATTTTCTGCCGATTGAAAAATACTGATAAACAATTTTGTATTCCTAAAAACAATTCAATTTTGCTTTTATATTTTATAAAACACAGCTGCTCAATGTGATATGTCTTAACGCTGAGCGTGTATATACATATTTGTTCTATTTCCTTCCCCGCCCCCACCAGGTGCATAGACATTGGAATTTCATGTAGCAACATTGCCCCCCAGTGTCAGAAATGAGGAGGTGAAGCATGTTCCTAGTTCTCCAAGGAGATTCTTCTGGTGCAGATGTTTCCTCACTAGGAGAAATGGCAGTTTGGATGTTTAGAAGTTTCACCCTGAAGTTTCATTTCCAGTCTTCTGCCATGATACTAAAGGACAATATTCCATTCCATGTTATTTTTTTTCCCCCTGAAGATAGATCACCTTGTAAATAGGGAAGATGAAACTGAAATTGTCAAACCATTTTCATCATCTTACATTTTCTTCCAGCAAACTATTTAGATGAATAGAAGAAAGGGCCCTAAGCATCCCACTAGAACAGGGGTCTTCAAACTTGGCCCTTTTATGACTTGTGGACTTCAACTCCCAGAATTCCTCCGCCAGCATGCCTGGCTGAGGAATTCTGGGATTTGAAGTCCACAAGTCATAAAAGGGCCAAGTTTGAAGACCCCTGCACTAGAAGGTGATCAGTCTTCATTGGCTAATCAAGGATCTGGAACTGGATTTGTATTGACGAGGTTTTCCCTGTTTTGGATTTTAGGTGAACATGATAATAAAACCCCTTCATTTTGTTTTCATTTCAAGGAAATATTTGAAATATCTCAACACCTTGTCTGTGACAAGCACCAATGGTAATTTATTTTATGAAAATTCTCAGCTTCCTGGTGAGCAATATACCTTCCTGAGATATAAATAAAGGTATAATTAAAACTACACAATTCATTCTATTGCCAAGAAACCTCCTTCTTCCCCCCCCCCCCAGAGAAATGCTAATCAGGTTCTCTTCAGATTAATTCCAGATCAAATTTTTCCACTTGCTGTGATATAAATGTATGGGCTGTTTCTCAGTTGGAGTGCACAAATCCAAACTTCTATGACTGAATCAATTTGGAGAACTGCTCAGAGAGCGAGAAAGTTCTTGATAGGCTTCAGATTCACTTCCTCTCACTGTGTATCTCGTACAGTAATAGACAGCCGTGTCCTCTGGTTTGAGGCTGTTCATTTGCAGATACACAAGACTTTTGGCATTGTCCCTGGAGATGGTGAAGCGTCCCTTGACAGATTCTGTGTATTCTTGCTTACTGGCATCATACCAAATAACTGCAATCCATTCCTTTCTTTTTCCTGGAGCTTGTCTCACCCAATGCATGCCATAGCTTCCAAAGTTAAAACCGGACCCTTTGCAGGAAATAGAGAGGGAGTCTCCAGGGCTTTTCATATAACTTCCAGATTGTTCCAGCTGAACACTGCATTTAATACCTGGGAAACAATAGGTATTGTTACATTCATTCATCTTTAGACTGTATGTGTATGCATGTATGCACGTAAGTATAGTTACAGTTGTAATTATAATTGTACGGGTAAATGTAGGTGTAGCTATATGGAGAGAGAGAGAGAGAGAGAGAGAGAGAGAGAGAGAGAGAGAGAGAGAGAGAGAGAGAGAGAGAGAGAGAGAACAAAATGTTTATGAAGGGTTCTCTAATCAAAGACATTAGTTTAAATTCTCTGCAGTTTCCATCATCTTCACCATTAATCCCTCCTTTGTGGATAGAGTCGAGTGTTTCCATTTTTGAGCACGTAATAGTCTCCCTGCAGCTTTCATATGTAAAATGAGAGCTTCTGACTTTTTTTTTAGTTGCTTATCTAATAGTCCCAAAAGAAAACTCGCTGCTTTCAACTATAGCTTAATTCTCATTTTTTTCTGGATTAGTGCACATACCTACAGTATATCCTTTTTAAAAAATCTTTTTTGCATGCCCACCAAACCTGACAGAATTTTTCTCTATGTTGTTTTCATTTCAATCAGAGATTTGAACTATCTAGACAATTGTTGTTGTTGTTGTTGTTGTTGTTTCTGGTGACAAAAACCAGTGATACATATCATTTTATAAAAATTATCTCCTTCACAGTGAAGATTGTAGCCTCCTAAGATGTGGAATTTTCTTGAGAGATTTTCAGGGAACAGTTATAGAAAGAACAACCAATGATCACTCCTCCAAAATGAGGCATTATCTATATAATTTATTTATTCCTTGCTCAAACCCCAACTGGTTCATAGGCCATGGAATTTGGTGTGACAACATTGCCCCCCACTGTCAAAGGTGAGGAGAGGACACATCTTCCTAATTCTCATGTATGTGTTTCACTTTGAGAGCGGGCAACTAAATTTCATTTTTGATGTGTGCCGTTGTGCCCACAGTAAAAAAAAAATGACAATAAAGGTTATCTTATCTTATCTCCAAAGAAATTCTTTTGCTCCACATGTTTCCTTAACATGTGAATGGCAGTTTGGATATTTAGATGGATTATCTTGAAGTTTCAATTCCAGACTTCTGCCATGATACTAAAGCAGAATACTCCATTCCAGGAGTGAGAAATACAAATATAGCACTTTTTATTCACCAAAACAAAAATCAGTTTCTTCTATATTTAGCAGAGAACATCTGTTGTCAACTCAGACATGGCTTCGTGCTTTGGGTTGAAGCCTCTTGAGATGTTTAGTTTCCTTTAGATCCTTTCAGTGTATTCTTCCAAAAAAAAAAAAAACATGACTAGTCATTCCATTTAAAGTGTTTCTCTATGTCAGATTTTATTACCTTGGATGTGGGATTCTTATTTATATTCCCAAATCCAATAAAATCATGGAATAATCTTTCAAGAAGCACCACCCAGATCATTTAGACCAAACCATGCCTAACAGCCAGATCTTATCTGTTCACCTTTAACTTGAAAGATTTTGGGAAGGTTTCCCTGTTCTCCCTTCATCCTTGGTTGATAATGAGGTTGATAATGAGATGGAGTGCATATAAATTAAAAATAAAATATAATAAAATAAAATAGAATAGAATAAATAAAATCAGCTTGGAGAACTGCTCATAGGGAAAGAAGGTTCTTGACGGGCTTCAGATTCACTTCCTCTCACTATGTCTTGTGCACAGTAATAGACAGCTGAATCCTCTGGTTTAAGGTTGTTCATTTGCAGATACACCCGAGTGTGGGAATCATCCCTGGACATGGTGAACCGTCCCTTGACTTTATCTCTGTAGTAAGCAGTAGGAGGTGAGCCCGTAGTTATGCGGCCCACCCATTCCAGGTCTTTCCCTGGATACTGTCTCAACCAGTTCATCCAGAAGACATTGAAGTTGAAACCAGAGGTTTGGCATAAGAGACTGAGGGACCCTCCAGGTCTTCTCACATCCCCTCCAGACTCCACCAACAGGACCTCAGATCGGACCCCTAAAATGAAAGGAGTTTCAGTGAGCTATCCTGTACACAAGAACTAAAATGGAATAAGCTGAATAGGGAAGAAAAAAATATTACCTCTGAGGAGAGTGAGTAAGAACAACAGGTTTTGCCACAGGGTCATTTTTGCTTCCTCTAATGATTGCAGGGAAATTGCTAGAAAAGGTTTTTTTTTTATTATTATTATTTAGCCATACTCTAAATAAATAGATAGAAAAGAATTCAGGAAAGGGCTCAGATTTTGTATAGCCTAAAAAGGGAAATCTTGTGGCTCCTTTAAAGGGCAAATTGTACCCTGATTTACATATTGCTTGGGTTAAAAGAGACCCATTCATTTTTTTAAGATGTCTTTCCACAGACTTTAAATGCATGATTTTCAAATGATGTTCCAATCATTAAAAAAAAGAAAAAAAAAAACTAATGCCAGTTTTCATGCTTTGTTTTTGTTTTCATATGAGTAGATAGGAGGAAGAACTGGTCTACTTTAAAGTCAGTAAAAGAAGGACTTTAATCATCCCAACACTTCTGAAATAAATTTATAATAAATAGGATACATTTATACAAAGACATGTTTACAGAAATATATTAACTACCAAATATATTTATATTTATATTTATATTTATATTTATATTTATATTTATATTTATATTTATATTTATATTTATATTTATATTTATATTTATATT